CTCCTGGGCTCAAGCGAGTCTCCTGCCTCCGCCTCCCAAGTAGCTGGGACCACAGGCGCCCGCCACAACGCCCGGCTATTTTTTGGTTGCAGCTGTCGTTGTTTGGCGGGTCCAGGCTGGGGATTCGAACCCGCCACCTTAGGTGTACGTGGCTGGCACCTTAGCCGGTTGAGCTATAGGCGCTGAGCCTGCGAAAGTTCTTGTCCATGCACACATTCCCAGCTCATCTGCCTTTCTTATTAAGGCACTTCCGTATTTTGTCAGTTGCAGAGAGTTGAAAAGGGGTCTGTATCCCCCCGCCCCCACCGAGGGGAAGGAAATCTTTCTTCTTGCATATATGTACCATTCCACTTGCATCTGACCCAACTTTGCCTTGCACACACGCACGCACACACACACACACACACACACATACACACACTGGCCCTAACTTGGGTATCCCCTCTGAGCACAGCTGTGTCTGTCTGTGGGTGTTCCCTTGTGACAGAAAGAGAGGGCGGCTGGCTTGGGGAACTGGCTGGTGGAAAAAGAGAGAATTTCGGCAGCTTGCCACAGAGCCCGCCTGGGAGAGGAGCCCTGAGCGACTCTCTTCCAAGCGGTTTCAACGTAGAGGAAAGCTCTGTCATCACTGCCTGACGCTGTGATTGTCTCTGACGCTGCAGTGGGACCAGGCACAGATCGGGAAGAAGAGTGTATTATGTAACTGCACGTGACAGGCCAGAAGGGGACAGAGCAAGCCTGTAGGAGAAAGAGCCTCTCTTTAAGAGAAACAGCCAGACACAAAGAGGTAATGACCTAAGTCAGATGGGAGTGAACTAGCCTTCCTTGCTAAGAGGTCACGCTTTTAGAGAGAGGCTCTTCCTGGTCAGTTGACAGCTTATAGGCAAAAATGGCAGGGACCCTGTTTTTATAGTAAGAGCATTTCACACCTTAGTTGTTAGGCAAAAGCAAAAGTGAGAGCCTCTCTCCTTGCCCAGTGCAACAAAAGCAGTTTTGTGTTGCCAGGTCAGTCCCTTCTCCAGTGGGAGGCAAGAGAGGTTATCACTGATGGAGCCGGGTTCAGGAGGGAAAGCCGAATGGAAAAGGGCCGGAAGCCGTTTTTCTTTAACCTGCCGCTTCAGAACTCAAGCCTGTATCTGCTCGTGTCTTGGGCTTAACTCTCTGATCAGCCACATTCCTGGAAAGCCGTGCCCACCGTGGGTTGTGCAGGCAGCTGCGTGTGGACACGTGGGCTGAGGGTTAAGACAGTGTGATTATTCCTACCGCACGGACTTGTGCCTGATTTTGTCCTGCCTTCTGTTGTTTCTGGTTTTGTGCTGAGTCTATCTGTATCTTCCAACTTGCATTTCAAGGTACTGAGCTTGTACCTGGTCTTTTGTTTCTTTTGTGTTTTTTAAAGAGCTCCTTACAGGACTGGGCACACCCTGGTTATTTAATGCACGATGATGAGTTCTACTTCTCCCCCTCTCCCATACATACTCCCCCACCCTCTGTAACAATTGTTGAAAAGCAGAAGGCTCAGATTCTAACAGGGCAAAGACAGGGCTATGTAGGTTACATGGGGTCTCTCAAATGTGAGGGACCAGATCAGGGTTGAGTCCCAGCATAAGAACCCTCTCCAGAGTCCCCTGTGGGCAGTGTGGTTCCCACCCCTATCCACAACTTGCGCCAGAATTTCTGCCCCCTTGTGTGCTAGCAGGTTCCTGCAGGTTCCTGCAAGTTCCCACAGGCCGCTGCCTGGCCTGTAGGTGGGTAGACCCAGTCAGTCTGCAAGCAGTTGTTCTTTCTGTCACTAGTGACATGCTCAGGGAAGTGGCTTCATGTAGCTAGAGGGTGTCTTCACACATAGCAGAGTTCTCAGCAGATATGGCCTCTTCTCCCTGTTTCTGAGGCTGGCTGATTAACTCAGAAGGTGTACGGTTGGACTGAAAGTTGACTTGTAGGGAAGAAAGAGCAAAATGCACACCTGTTTGCAAAACTCTACATGCCAGCGCCCCAAGCCCCAGAGACCAGCTGCAAGGCCCCCGGGGTTGAAATGAAAAGACATTTTCATTCCTTAGTGGCCAAAAGAGAACTCAACATAGGAGGGGAACAGGGAGCCACAGAGGGGAATTATTTTTCCCCATCAGAAAAACAAGTAGTTTTTGGAGGAAATAAATAGTTAACAGTTTAAAAGATTTTTGTAGAAAGAGAAACTAATTATACCTTGGTTTGTGTGGATTCTGATTCCGGATGAACGCTGGTGCTCTTCCATATCCCAGCTCTCGTCACTTGCAAGCACAACTGTGGTCTTGCGGCCTGTCCCATCCCACGCTGTGACCTGTGCTGGGCCAGTTGCCAGGGACACACAGGGCCCAGGGTGGGCCTGTCCAAAGCCAGGCCATCAGGGTGACTGGGAGGAGTCCCAAGGGCTCCTCTTCTGCAGCGTCTCTGCCATGTTGAGGTGGGTCCTGGAGGTGTCTCCATCCCTCTGACAGTCCTATGCACCTCACTCACTTCCTGGGAAAAACAGAGAAGGTGGTTGGGAAGGCCAGAGGGGCTGAATGGATGGTGCAGACATGGGCCTGTTGGCAGCATTGTTATTTTATAGCCGAGGAAACTTAGTCTGTTTTGTGCTGCCGCATAGGATGTACCACAGCCTGAATAATTTACAATGAATGGAAATGTATTGGCTCCTGGTTCTAGACTCTAGAACCTAGAGGCTGAGAAGAATCTAGCGGCTGAGAAGTCCACTTTCAAGGTGGCAGGCAGCATCTTATGAGGGCCCTGTGGCTGCACCGTCCCGTGGTGGAAGGCAAGAGAGTGACAGAGAGAGGAAAGGGAACGGACCTCGCTTTATCTGAGGCACTATCCCACCTATGAGGGTGGAGCCCACATGGCCTACTTGCTGCTTTTTTTTTTTTCCCTTTGGAGACAGTCTCACTCTGTCACCCTGGGTAGAAGGCTGTGGTGTCACAGCTCACAGCAACCTTAAACTCTTGGGCTCAAGTGATCCTCTTGCCTCAGCCTCCCAAGTACCTGGGACTATAGGCACCCAACACCATGCCTGGCTACTTTTATATTTTTCTCCTGTTTTTAGAGATGAGGAACTTGCCTTTGCTCAGGCTGGTCTCAAACTACTGAGCTCAAGCAAACCACCCACCTCAGCCTCCCAGAGTGTTAGGATTACAGGTGTGAGCCACCACACCCAGGCCCTAATCACTTCTTAAAGGTCCCACCTCTCAACACTATTACACTGGTATTTAAATCTCCATATGAGTTTTGGAGGGGACAAACATTCCAACAGGAAGTCCAGAGAATGTGAATCAATGCCACAGTGGAGGGATCCAGCCTGGGCCACAAGCCCCACCAGACTCCTGGTGGCTGCCGTCCCACAGCAGGGCTGGGCCTGCCTGCGCCCTCCAGTTTGAAAGGGGTGCTCAATAATGTGAGCTCAATAATGTGAGCTCCTGTCCCTTCTTGTCCTTCACCCCACCCTGGCACATGTGGATGTGTGACAGCTCTCACAGTGTGGCTGTGTTCCTTCCTGTCTGGGGCTCTGTACATGGAAGGACCACACCCCGGCCTGCCTACACGAGCCAGTACACATAATACTGCTTTTCTGCAGATGCTGTTAAGAGCTACGTGAATGCAGGATGGTATTCCCATAATCTGGGGGCGTGGCTAGGACACAAAGATTCTCGGGTAAGATTATGGGTGTTACCAGACAGAAGAGGGTCTGGCCTCTTGTCACTGTCAGCCAGTATGCAGAGACGGGGACAGGTCCACCAACCTTTGTCAGACTGTTCTGTTCTTCCAGTTCCCAAATCACAGTTTTATACATGAAGGTTAACTACATTAACTCCTATTTAAATAATGATCAGCATAGCTGAGTGACCTATAACAGCATTAACAATTCAAAAGTTAATCTCCTAATCAATCCACTTAAACTCCTCAAGATGGGCATCTTTGGGGTGGGAGCTAAATTTACCAAACACTAACAGTGGGAGACAGGAGGTCAAGGTCAGGCAGGACCTGAATGGACCAGAGCAGCTGTGTCTTCTGGGCCCCAGCCTTTCTGACTCCATCTTATTTTCATCACAGGTACTCTCATCCAGACTTATTTTTTCCCTGCTAGCAATTAGCATCAGCTTAGAACAGTTTCTTACTTAAAGGCTGGTCATGTCCAATGCAGCTTTTATGTAGATAAAATAAACGCAGGAACACAAACAGGGAGCTTTAACTCGATTTCCAGACTTATAGGACACTCATTTCCCAGCCTGCTGAGCTTTCAGGGTTTCTAGATCAAGTTGTCCCCAGCACCCAGGCCGAGAATGGCCGTTCTGCTGTGAAGAGGGGTGAAGGAGCATGTGAGCCTGCTAAAAATCAAGTGGCAGGGAAGAGCCAAGTGTCAGTTTTCATTTAGACACAGTTTATCCAACTTCACACATAGAGAGTAATTGTTCTGGAAGGCTCCCTGTCAATGCGTCGGACCATCATCTTCCTGCGGCTGGTCATTTTGTGAGCATGGAGTGTGCAGAAGTGGCCTCTGGCCCCAGATCCTGTGATTTGTACCTCAGGGCCTTCCCTGGCTGTGCTTG